TTTTTTTTTTTTTTTTTTTTTCCGATTTTTTTTTTTTTTACCTTTTTAAAAAGGGAACATTTGAAAGAAGCCACAAGAGGTGTTTCTGAAAGAAGGAGCATTTAAAAAAGAAAAGAAGAGGTGTTTTTTAAAAAGTGAACATTTATAAGAGAAGAAGAGGTACTTTTTAAGGAGCCTTTTTTAAGGAGAAGCATGTGAAAAAAAAAACAAAAAAGGAGCATTTTTAAAAGAACCAAGGTGTTATTACGCAGCACCCCGTTTAGCCGCAACTCAATAAGTGCACACCTCGCCTTTTATTTTATAAGAAAACAACCCGCTTTTTTTTGTGTGCATTATGTGAAAGTTTTTTTTTTTTTTTTTAAATTACAAGGCTTCCCTTTTGTCTTATATTTTTTCCAATAATTAGCCGCAATGACAAACGTTGTAAATGTAAACGCATTCGCCTTTTCTAGACGCAACAGGAGCTCATTGTTGATCGTTTTGCTCGTATTTTTATATTCGGTAATAAGAAACGAGTACCTGAGCCACGTTTGGCAGTATATTATTAGCAGCGCACTTTTTTACACCCGTTAAGATGAGCTCCTTCTTGTTGCTAAACACATGTGTACCCAAACCTGAGCACTAATATATATATTGCCCCCCTTTTTTTTTTTTTTTTTTTTTTTGTTAACCCTCTCACAGAACGTCATTCCTGTAACGACACACAATTCGGCCCTTATTGTACACGAAAGGAAATTGCAAAGACTATTAAGCAAAGCCGACGCAAATGAAGTTAGTCCCTTTAAAAGTACACTTCATGGAGATACAAATGAAGATAAAAATGTGTTAGAATCAGTTGGGAAATTGCCCAAGGTGTGCAACGTGGAAGATGTCAATGTGTATGTAAACGAAGAAACAGAACTAAATAAGGTGCACGGATCAGGTATTGTTCGACTAAGTCTGAAAGATGCGTTCATTGGAAGTTATAATTATTTTAAGCAGTTGAAAAAAGGTTATTATAAAATGATGGAGTCCTCAAGAAAGTGGTTTTATAAAAGTGTCGTACAATGTAGAATACCTGATGATGTGATGGAACATCTTTGGGAGGAATACGAGACAGGACTAATTGAGGATTTGAATGAGATGGAAGAATTTTGCGTCGAAAGCATTTTTGATTTTGCAGGAAATGGAAGGATTGGAAAAATCACCAAAGACGAATATGATCAGTTTAATAAGAACATGAAGGATATTTGTAAACGTTTCACCAAACTCACTGAAAAAAAATGGAAAGGCTTAATGAGTGATAAGATGAAGATTATTAAAAAAGAGATGAATACACAAAAAAAGGGAAAGTACAATTATGGGTATGATGACGTAGTGGAACAATTTTACTTAGATGAAATTATGAACCCAATACAGGATGAAACGACGGAAGAGGGAGGAGAAGATGATGATGAGGATTTATTAAAGAAACAGGCAACCGTGTTACAGCAAATTGAGGAGTTATGCGAACTGTGCGAAGAGGAAGGGGAGCTAATGGATGAGGAAGAGGACGAATTCAAAGTTGATTTTGAGCAAATTGATGTGGAGGAACAAATAGAAACGGGACGTAAGCAAAGGGAGAAGGAACGGAACAGAAGAGAAAAGGAAGCTAAATCGTATCGCAGGGAGAAGAGGACAAACGTAAAGGAATCGAACCCAAGTGTAAAGAAGTCAAGGTTCAATGAAAACAGATCCCATGGAAGGGACACCAAGCGAAGCAGTATGAGAAGGAGATGAATCAGGATTCACAGCAAAGTAGAAAGGAAAAGCGAAGCCAAAAAGAAAGCAACGCAAAAAAAAAAATAAGCCAACTGATGCAAAATAAAGCGATGTAAAGCACACCAAGCAGAAGGGAAATTGCCGCACACGTGTATGTCCACCTGGACTGAAGAATTAAAGTACAAATTTTTCCTTTTTACCGTAACAGTGATTGTGCTTAAGACGCTTTTCTCTCTTTCTTTCTCTCTTTCTTTCTCTCTTTCTTTCTCTCTTTCTTTCTCTCTTTCTTTCTCTCTTTCTTTCTCTCTTTCTTTCTCTCTCTCTTTCTCTCTCTCTTTCTCTCTCTCTTTCTCTCTTTCTTTCTCTCTCTCTCTCTCTCTCTCTGTCTCTGTTGTTTTTTTTTTTTTTGTGTATTCTTTTTATTCATTGCTATTCTTAATTTTACCTGGATAGTAATGTTCTTAGTAGTCTTTTGTAGATTATGTAATTTTCCTTGTATTCATTGTTCTTTATGGCAGTGTGCAAATAACTCCCAGGCACAACTCACCAGTGGATTCCACCGTTAATAGTAGAACCAAGTGAAAATGCTTTGAGGTGTAAACGTTTTCGCCATTTGGAAAAAGATGCGCCTGCACGGCGTCATGGGTCGTCTTGGCTTCTGTGTCCGTGGATTTACTATCCTCCCCTGCATCTGATTTGTGCGCAGGTTGTACACTTGGCTTAGTAGAAGGCATAGCTGGTAATGGTGCAGGTTCAGGCTCCCCTGTTGATGTTACTGCTACTGATTCCGTCTGATCCCCTCTATTTGTACCCTGTGTAACATCCTTATCTATGAGTTCAAGTGGAAAGGGGAACAATATGAAGAAGCTAAGGTCCTGATGGTTCAGGATTTATAGTTTTCTTTTTCTACTTCTGATACACTCATAGTGCTCCCATAGTGTGTTTAGTGTACCCGCGTGCACCCCTGTGGTACACGTGTGCCCAACAGTAGAGGCACCTGTGCGGCCGGGCGCGTGTGTAGGTTCATTGTCGTTTGCTTCATAGTTCTCGATAACATCTGTGGAAGGTGGACCGCTGTTGTACAAGGAGCTCGTGACTATACTCACAGTGCCCTTACTGTCTGCAAGTTTCACATGAACAAGATTATCATCAGCGTGCTCACCGGAACTGGTTGTTGCTGGTGGATGCTGCCACCCCGATGCACCGGGTACTGACGGTATTCCTGGTCCTGGTGGTGCGCCGCGTTGCAGGTGCTCCAGTATTACTTCGTCGAGTGGCGGTGACGGAACGTCACGAACGGTTCGATACGTTCGTCGTCGTTTGGCGAGATAGGCAAAGTACTAAGCAGAAAACGGGAGTAAAGAGCAGGGTGAGGACGGTAGGATAAAAGGAATGAACGCGGGTGTAGGAGTATATTGGTTAGAAACATCATATATTGGAGCCCGTAGGGATGTTCAGAGGTATAAACATCCTGCACATGCGGCATGCCCGCATTGTCGTATATACTTACCTTCCAGAGGAAAAAGGCAATCACCGCAATACCAACAACCGCGGGAATGATCGCGGGGGTGTACGGGATAAGGTCATCCCAGGTTAGTCCGGCAGCAGCTACGATCTCTTCGGGTGTGTGCTGTGCAGGGGGATCATTCTGGGGGGTGGATGTAATCTGAGTAGTCACAGAGTTGGTAGTACTGGAACCATTATCAGGGCAGGAAGGAGTTTGGGTTGCGGTAGAACCAGTACCGGAGGAACCAGGGTTTTCGGCCCCCGTGGAAGCAGTACCAGTAGAACCCGGCCCTGAAGAACCTGGGGTTTGGTGACCAGTGGAACCATTACCAGAGGATTGACCTCCTCCACTGCCTTGGGTAGTACCATCCCCACCTTGTTTTCCTTCCCCACCAGAAACTCCATGCGCCAAATCCGCATCACTGAAACTGCCACTACTACCCGATTGATCTGGGTTCGGGTTGGGTTTTGGTTTGGGTGGATTGAGAGAAGGGGGGTCATCGTTGCCGCCGTCGGCGAAGGCATCGCCTGAACATGTGGTGAATGGGGAGACAGGGAAAGGGAAGGAAGAAGGATATGAAAGAAACTGAACTTTATGCAGTGCGAGATTGGCCACGGTTGCCGCTTGCCCGCTGTCCGTCGCTGCATTGTTCGACCACACGATTGACGGCGGTTGTCCGTCGTTTCACGTGTGACCGCCGGTCGGGTGACGAGAGCGGAGAGGGGGGCACGGAGCAAGGTGCCACCCCGGGAAAAGACTCTCTCTGTGCCACAACACAACACAACACACACAGACACAGTCTGTGTGTCGGCCTGCATCTACGTCGAGGTCTGTCTACGTCTACCTCCCGCGGCGGACCGATCGCTCACGCTCGGTCTGTCGCTGTCTCGCTCTGCCACGCTCTGCCGCCATCATTCTTATGCGACGTTGATTGCTGTCGCCCTCTGGCTCTGCGCAAATTGGTGTTTGTGTTGTTTTGTTTTATTTCTCTTTTGGACTAAATGAAAAGGAGGATAGTGTTGTCCTTTTTTTTGTTTTGTTGTTTTTTTTCTGCTGTTCTTCCTTTGTCCTTAGATAACCTAGCTAGGGTACTAGCATAAGGCATCCAGCCCGTTGTCAACACCTCCGCAGGAGCTGTTCCCGGTACCCCTCATTGGACTCTCGCAGGTACCTGTGGAAGATGTGGCTCTATCCTTTTCCTTCAGCAGCTTCCATGTTTCACAGTCAGGCTCCCCTGGATAAGAGTGAGTACCAGCTGATACAATAGCACGGGACCCTCCCATAGGATCTGAAAGAACAGATACTGCGTTGTTCTTGTCATAAGGACACTTCTCCTCACCTTTGTCATCCTTTGGTGTAACTTTTTTTTCTTCCTTTGTTGGACTCAGATCTGCTCCTCCTTTACCTAAGTCTGTTCCCCCCTTTGGTGCGGCTGGTGCTCCATCACCCTTTGCTCCTTTTGCTCCCTTTGATCCTGCTTCTGCATTGTCCACGGGTGTAGGAGGTGGAGGAGGCGGAGGTGGTCCTGCCGGTGGTCTTGCTGGTAATACTGGAGATGCCGGTGCTTGTGGTTGCGATGGCGGCAATGACCTGCCTCCTGCGGTATCCTCGAGTTTTGGTCCTGCAGTGGGTTTACCTAAGATGGGGAACGGAAGAAAGATGGATGCAAAGATGATAAAAAAAAAAAGGACACAAGTGGTAGAAAGAAGGGGCGGGTCGGCTCGATGCAGTGGGTCGATGCAGTGGGTCGAGGTGCAATCGGTGGACTCCGTACTCCGTGAACTGGGTCAGGCGACAGCAAGCGTACGGTGAGGTGAACTCGGTGAACTGGGTCTAGGTGGACTCCGTACTCCGTGAACTGGGGGTAGACGGTAGCCGTACAACTGTTATTTGTTGTGGCCGTCATCTCGTCTCCGGTGCCGTCATGTCCCGGCGGCGGCCGCTACCACGACCATCGTGACCGCCGTCCTGGCCGCTCAACCGAAGTGGGGCAGCTGCCGTCGTGGCCACCGCTGTGCTCGGCTCAACGAAGTCGTGTGCCGTGCTGTTCCGCCGCGTGTGCGTTGTTGTTCGCGCGTGCGTGTTGTGCCAGCCGTGTTTTTTTGTGGTGGCGGCATCCCTATCATCCGGACTATGGCTGGCCATTCGCGTGCGTACTGTGCGCGTTCCTAGTGCCGATATTCCTATCACTGTGATGCTTTACTGTTCTTACCCTTCGCGTGCTCCTCCTCCGGGTCCTCATCATCATCCTCGTGGTCCTTATCGTCGTCGTCGGCAGGAACGTGCCCCCATATTGGCTCTACTTTCTTCCCTACTTTCTTTAATATACGCGTCATTCCTGTCGCCATTGCGTCCCGCACGTGTCCTGCTTTCAATAATTCCATACGTTGCTTCCAGTGGTCAGATCTCTGGTGCCCGCGTGATGCTTCACTGTTTACCCTTCGTGTGCATTTTCCAGATCGCTGTAACTGTTTCATCTTTGCCTTCATTTTGTCATTCCCCATTATCCAGTCATCAAATTGTGCGCCTATTACTTTTCCTCCTATGCTCAGTTCATTCTCGACCACCCAGGTGCACGTCTTAACATTAACACCATTTTTAAAACTGCTCATAAACTGTTCTAATATGTGCAATGCCTGTTTGATGCCTATAGTTCTTCCACAGTTTGCTCTTATCAACTGGAACATAATTACATTCGCAATTATGCACCGTATATATGTGTGTAATTGGTCTCCTACTGCCGAAGCATCGTATCCCCCTTCTGCACTCGTCCCCCAGCCATTCATGAAATATAATGCGGGCACCATCATTTTGCATACAACTTTGTCGTCCTCATTATGCAAACGTGTGAACTTGTGCTTCAACCATCCTGCATTATTACACGATTGCGCCCATATGTCATGATGGTGCTCCATATAGGTAAGAAACTGTTCTACTATATCTTTCATCTTGGCCCATATGCCTTCCTGCAGCAGAGGAAAATTATATGTGTACCTGTCTATCTTCCTTTACTTCCACAATTTTTTAATATGTGCCGGCCGCAACATCTTAACTCGCGTTTGTCATAAAGTGGCCTCGTCTTGTGTCTCTGTCCACTTCCCGCTCTCTTTACTATTCATTTTACCGCCGTATTAAATTACCTCATATGTTCCAGCGTTTGTCCCCACTACCGTTTGCCGTGCATAATCTGCTAAGAGAGTCCCAAATGTTTGGGCCATGTTTGTTTGTTTATTATAAATCTGTATTTGAATTCCTACTGCACATAGAACAGTGCCTCAAACTAGCTATATTCTGCCGCAGATGTCCTGTGGTTGTCTTAGTACAGTAACTGTGCACACTAACAAAACATATTCCTAAACTAAGGCCTCCTGAATAATTTTATCCCTTCATTAGAGATAGGAAAACACCAAGGAAAAAAAGATGGAATAGAAAAGATGGGAGAAAAGAAAGATAAACCAAAAAAAAAAAAAAGAAGCGACAGGAAAAAATAAGACAAAACTACACCGTTAATATTACAGACATCCACACTAGTCCCAGAACAACACCAATTGTGCAATCCTCTGGATTCCCGGTTCAAATGTACATATATCCCGTGGATATAGCATTAACCAGAGTTCTTGTTCCGTTTTCCTGTCTTTGTGTAGAAGAAGAAAGGAAAAAAAAAACCAAAGGAAACACCAGGACAATACTAGACAACGTCATGAATAGCCCGCCTGCCCCTGTTCTACACCGGTCTCCACGAAACGCCTGCACACACTGTGTCTCTCTATGTGCGTACACCTAAAAACCGCAGTAACAACGTGAAGTTTGTAAAACTGTGGTCACGCGGGTAAAATATATATATACATCGTTCATATATCATTACCCAGACTGGGGGCGCCTGCGTGTAGCAGAAAGGCCAAAAGTACGACGCCTGTGCGCATTACATGTGAATCCACATATGCTATATATATGTAACCTCTACAACCGTATACCGATAGTCATAATAAAAGAAGTTGACTACATAACAAGAAAAAAACAAGGCAAAAGTAAGCACAAGTAAGCAGAACAGAGCAGAAAAAAAAAAGGAAGGTATGGAATAGTGCAAACAAGAAATATATTATGTATATCACATAATGAAGTAAAAGTGGTCGGCCGTTAGCATGCGTTATTTCGCATTCATATGCAACGTCATCCTCATTTCAGAGCTTCTGCAATAGTTCATCTACATATAACTCCCTAGCCTGCAAACTGCGTTCGACTTCGCACTCTTCAATGATTAATGCCAGGATCAGTATCCATATTGTAGCGGTTAACGGTTTTTTCATGTAAGGTTGCGGATGCATTGGCTGCGAGCGCGGTAAAGCTCTCACTCTTAGAACATCTTCTGCGGCCATTACATTTTCCACTGCGAAGTCTGCGTCGACTACGGATAGTGCGCCTTTTTCCGGTACTGTCTCCTGGTCGATATTTTCTAACAAATGCCTAAAACAATCGCTTTCGATATACTTGGCCATGTCGTGATGTTGCTGTGCGACCCACTTTTTCCAGGCATCTTTCTTCATTTCCACACATCCAATACTTCTTTGTTCAGTGAGTTCACGCTGCCCGGATACTCCGTTGTCCTCCTTTGCCACCATGTGTGCACGGAGGTATTGTTTCCAGTTCGATTTCAATTGCACAACCCACGGCTGCGTCGTGCACTCCCGCAATATGCGTTTGTTGCGGTCAATCCAGTTAATCCAATTAATGTCGTCGGGGATCGGGCATTCATGCCGCGGGGAGGAGTGCGGGTCGGGTTGTGCATCTAACTGTGTAGTTTCCATGCAACTCCATGGATCGTGGTTATCTTCGTTTGGTGGACACGGGTCCGTGGCGAACTGTATAGTTTCCATATAACTCCATGGATCGCAGTCATTAGGTGCACAAGGGGCCGTTGCTAACTGCATGGTTTCCATACAACTCCATGGATCGGGGTCGTCTTCGTTACGTGGAGAAGCGTCCGTTGCTAACGGTGTAGTTTCCATACAACTCCATGAAGCGCAGTCATTCGGTGCACAAGGGCCCGTTTCTAACGGTATAGTTTCCATGCAACTCCATGGAGCGGGGTCATCATCTGGACATGGGTTCGTTCCATCCGAGTCAGTGGGTGGAGCGAGGGTGGATGGAACGTGGTTTCCTGGTAAACCATGGTCTGAGGTAGAAACATCTAAGATGTTGTTATTCCTGTGGTCGTCCCGCATCAAATCCTGCGCAAACTCCTCCACGATTATCTGCAAATAGCCGTCTTTGACGTTTTCCCATGCGGCTGCTTCGCATTCGTGGAGCACTTCTAAGTGTAGCTCAATGATCGTGCGTTTATGCACGCGTGGATGACGTCGTCGTCGGTCGGCAGCAGATGCAGCCCGCCTATCCATAACCATCGTGTACGCGTAATCGGGTGGCGGTGCGCCTCGTTGTAGATGCTGCAATATTTCTTCGTCGAGTTGCGGTGACGGCACGTCACGCACGGTGCGAAACGTTCGTCGTCGTTTGGCGAGGTGCGCAAAGTACTACAAAAACAAACAAAAAGAGCGATGTAGAAGAGTGCATTTGTGTTAGAATGATCGTACAAAATATCCCGTTTGGAACACATTTGTCTATGGTACATATTGCGGATACGCATATGCGGTATTCCGTATATACTTACCTTCCAGAGGGAATAACCAAGAAGGGCGACGGTGACGGCAGTGAGAAAAAACAGGATGGGAGTAGTGGCGGTAAGGACCGTGCCGGTTAGGTCGGGCAAGAAGGGACCATTATCTTGCCCATTCTGCGGAGCTTGTCCCCTTGGACCTGGTGTTGGTCCTGTTCCGAAGTGTCCTCCCGTACCGTCTGCATATCGAGGAATATCTATTAATAGGACAGAGGCGCCACTGCTGGAACCTGAATTTGAGCTCAAGCAAGCATCTTTCTCAGCACTTCCACTTCCTCCCCCGCCTCCACCACTACCACCACCAACTCCGCCTCCTCCTGCACCCGGTTCACCACCAGTACTGATCGGGCCGCTACCGCTGCTGCTGTCGGTCTGATCGGGATTCGGTTTTGGTTTGGGTGGATTGAGAGGTGGAAGGCCAGCGTTTTCTCCATCCGGGTTGGTAACGGAGGATCCAGTGAGGCCAGGACCTCCTGTGTCTGCATTGTCCGCGGCCCCGTCAGCTTTGGGACCGGGTGCTGCTGGGTCTGGTCCACTGGAAGTTGATGTTGTTGTGGATGCTGGTTCTGGCTGTGTTTGATTCGTTGGCGTAGTTGCTGCTGATGGTTCTGTTGCAGCGGATCCGGAGACGTCTACACTCGATGTAACATCTTTACCTAGGGGTCCACGTACGCGAAACAGTAAATTAGGTTGAAATTGAAGGTTCTTAGGACGGTTGACCGCGGTCCGTCGCTGGATGAGTTGGCCACACGCTTCGTTGCCGTCGTTTCACGCTTGTCGTCCGCGGGTGGGGACGGTACCACGCGGGAAAAGACACTCTCTCTCTCCCACACAGCACACAACACACACACACAATGTGTGTCGACGTCTGTCGACGTCGACGTCTACATCCAGCGGTCGATCCTCGGCGCTGTGCCGGTTTCATGCTCATTCGACGTGTGGTTGCGCGCGCTCCGTGGTGTCTTTCCCTCTGTGTCTCCGGAAATTGTTGTTGCTTTTTTTTTTTTTTTTTTTTTTTCTATGGTGGTGTCCCGAGGGTTCGTTGTTCGTACCTGTTGGTACATTCTGTGTAGTTGTGGAAGTTCCTATGGATATGGTTGTTGAACCCGAACTGCCGGGAATACCCCACTGCCCTGAAGCGGGTTCGTCGGTGGGCACGCTAACATTGTGTACTTTTGGTTCCAGTACTGTTTCCAGGCACTCAGAAATTCTGTCCGGGTCAGGCCCAAGTTTCCCACAATCTTCTTCGCTCCTGGGAGATTTTACATGGACGCTCCCTGCGCTTGCAGTCTCCAGAGGAATCTTACCTGCGGTATCCTTGTTAGGTCCTTGGCCCCCTGTACTTGGTTGGCCGTCCTTTCCTGGTGCTGGTGTGGCCTCCTTCCCGGGCACCACTACTGTTGGTTCTGCCTGGGGGGACACGGATGCTGGTGGTGGTCCTGGTGGTGCGGCCGGTGACGGCGCGGGAGGAGGTGGTTCCTCCTCCGGTTCCTTCCTTGCTACGTTTGTTCCTGCTCCTCCCGCTGATCCCTCTGGTGCAGGTGCTGGTGCGCGGGGTGTTCCTGCCTTATCAGTGTGTTCCGGCGTTTTCTCTTCTTTACTCTCGGCCTTCTTCTTGTCAGGGTCCCCATCTGTCTTTTTGGTCTTGTCCGCTACAGTAAAGAAGGAAGAAACATTGTAGAAAGATGATAAAAAAAACAAAGGTCACCAGTGGTACAGAACGAAGGGGGCGCGACGGTGTGGTGTGGTTCGATCAGGTACCGGCAGGGTAGGGTCGGCTGCATGGGTCGATGCAGTGGGTCGATGCAGTGGGTCGAGGTGCAATCGGTGGACTGGACTCGATGCACTGGGTCAGGCGGCAGCACGCGTACGGTGAGGTGAACTCGGTCGACTGGGTCGGGATGGATGGTAGCAGTACAAGTTTTATTTGTTGTTGCCGTCATGTCGTCCGCCGACCCGTTCCGTCCGTCTCCGGTGCCTCGTCATGTGCCTTGTCACCGCTACAGTTGCCGTCGTGGTCGCCGCGTGCGTGTTGTTGCCGTGGCGGCATCCATATTCGGCCGTATCGAGCCGTGTTTGTGTGCTGGGTGTATTCGTGCTTTCTCCCATCGGTCCTTACCTGTCGGTTCCTTTTGTGTTGCCGGCTCATTATCTGCTGGATTTTCAGGGGTTATTTTGGCGGTGCCACCTGCGTTACCTGCTTTATCCGCTTCTGACATGCCCGGTGATGTTGATGTTGTTGGTCGTAATGTTGCGTGTACCCCGTTTGTTCTTCCGCCTGCCTCTGCCGGCATGGCCGCCCGTGCTGTTTCTTTATCGGGTCCGTTCGGCCTTGCCTGCTCCCATTTGCTTATTTCCGTGTTCAATATGTTTTTACCTTCCTGACTGTTCTTACTCTCTCCTACTTTCTTGATCAATTCCTTCACGTCACTCTTCTTCATATACTCTTTCTTATCCATCCACTCCGTCGCTGTTCCTAGGTTCGTACTTTCTAATATTTCAATACTATTTCCTTCCTTAGCCTGTTGCCCTGCATCATCTGTACCTTGTGTTCCCCTGTTTCTGGTACATACTTGCGCCTGGTTCCCTGCATTTATTCTGTGTTGGCGTTTCCTCCATTCTGTAACCCATTCGTCCATGGCCTCTCCCATAAATCTTGTTCCAATTCTCAGTGCATCAAAGTTGGCCCATTTACACTTCTCCCTATTATGCCCAAGTCCAAAGGAATCCTCCATCATATTCATTATGCTGGAAACATGTTCCGTTATTTCTTTTATTTTACAGTGCTTCCCATATAACTTGATAAGGGCCACGGTCCCTACCATACACTTCAAGTGGTTCCATAATTCCCGCTGTCTATCATTTCTACCTACCTGCTTTTTGTTCCCTGAACTCAATCCTTCCATATAAAAAAATATTTTTCCTATCTCTCTGCATAGAAATTTACTTAAGCTATCCTTAAGATGCTCGCTCCTGAATTCGTTGTTCCTACATATTGTTTGTATCGTAATGTGGTATCCTCGCTCATTCAAGTATTCACCTAATTCGCTGAACATACTCTTTATATCCGTCCATATTTTGTCCTAGGATAGAAATAGATAACGCATTCACTTTTACATTACCTATTCCCTAATTTTATCTTCCCTATAGAGAAGTTCACATGTTACCAATATCCCCAATGTATTCTTCGTAAATGCATACATGAATACTAATCCACATTATGCGGATATTCCTATATAGTTCTATACTTCTGTGTAATATCCACCATGGCCAACACAAATGCGTTCATTCACTCCGTGTTGCCAAAATAGTTCTCACAATAACTTACGCTAAAATCTTCCCCATCCTTCAGGTCACCTTGTATTTTTCTTTCTAATATATATTCCACCAATAAATCTGTGAACTCTTTTGCACTCATGTTGTTGCGGTTTCCTTTCCACTATGGTATAACATTGCACCGTTGATTAATTTCTCAACATTCCATATATGCCACAGAAACTGCTATGCATGTCCGTTGTGGTGCCTGTTACACTTGTCCTTTGTTGTTCATTAGGAACTTCCTTCCTTAAGATTTAACATTACAAATCTATATACAACAAAACCTTCATCTCTGCCTTGTGGGCAATCCGATTCTTCCACTAATATTAAATCATGCAGGACTTCTATATAGGTAATAAGAGAAAAATGCATATATGAAAAGAAAAAGACAGAACAACAGGAAACAAAAAAGGGCAACAACAAAAAAAAAAAAAAAAAGAAAAGAAAAGAAAACAAAAGAAAAGCAAAGCAAAGCAAAGCAAAAATAGGAAAAATGCTACACAACGCTACCTACACACACAACGCGTCATGAATACACCCCTTAACAACAACACCCGTTGTCCACTAAACGCCTTCACACACACTGTCTCTGCGTGCGTACACAAAAAAACCGCAGTAGCGACAACAACATCAAATTCTTCTTCCGTCCTTGCCGTCGCTGCCGTCTTTCCTTGTGTGCTCCCACATAATATGTGTGTTCCTTCTCCGCCACGCTCCACTGCACGCTCTCTGCTCCCTCTCTGTGGATCCTTCCCTCGAAAACTCCTGACGCGGACAATTCGTTTACCCGGCTACGTCGGCGAACCGCTTCACTCGGACAATCCGTGCACCCGGCCGCTATGGTCGACGCGTGTGCTCGGAGAGACAATCTCTGCTCCTTCTTACACTCGGCGACTTCGTCGAATCGTTGTTACACGCAGCCGCGTTGGTCGACGCGTTTGCGCGGAGAGACAATCTCTCCTTATACTCGAATGCGTATGCGCATTCTATATTTGTGCTGCACTATACCCTTAGAATGCACGTGCGCATCTTTTAATAATTAACGTCACACAAAGGAGAATACTACCCGAGCATTTTATTCATGTAAATCTACATTTTATATGCATGTAACGGGTACCACCCTGTTCCTATGGGCATGTTAAAAGTTGACTACACAGAAAAAGAACAAAACAAGGCAAAAGTAAGCACAAGTAAGCAGAACGCAGCAGAAAAAAAAAAGACGGTATGTAATAGTGCAAACAAGAAATATATTATGTATATCACATAATGAAGTAAAAGTGGTCTACCGTTAGCATGCGTTATGTCGCATGCATGTGCCCCGTCATACTAATGTTAACACTGTTGCAATAGGTCATCCACATATAACTCCGTTTCGTGCAAACGACATTCGAGCTCGCAGTCTTCGATGACTAATGCCAGGAGCAGTATCCATGTTTTAACGGTTAACGGTTTTTTCATGTAAGGTTGCCGATGCAGTGGTTGGCTGCCTGGCGAATTTCTCACTGTCAGTATATCTTCTGTTCCCTTTACTTTGTCCACTTCTAAGTCTTTTTGCATTATAGGTACGTCGCCTTTTTGCGGTACTGTCTCCTCCTCTACATTATTCAACAAATGTTTAAACCACTCCTGCTCACTGTATGTATCCGTCCGTTTATGCTGTGTTGCAACCCACTGTCTCCACAACCGCAGTTTCGTCATGTCTGCGGATGGCATATTGCCACGCTCACCGAGTGCACGCTGCCCGGATACTCCGTTGTCCTCCTTTGCCGCCATGTGCTCACGCAGGTATTGTGTCCAATCCGATTTGAGGGCATTAAACCACGTTTGCCCCGTGCACTGGCGCAGCATATGTTTGTTGCGGTGAATCCAGTTAATCCATTGTGTGCACGCCGACGTCGCGTGCGCGGGGTCGGAAGGGCCATGTTGTTCATCGTCTAACTGTATGGTTTCCATACAACTCCATGGATCGGGGTCGTCTTCAGTCGGTGACCAAGGGCCCGGTCCGTCGGAATCGGTGGATGGAACATGGGTCCCTGATAAATCCTGGATTAATGATGAAACACTTAAGGTATTCTTATTCGTGTCCTCTTCCTGCTCCAAGTGATGCACAAACTCCTGTGCAAACTCCTGCACGACAAGCTGCAAATAGTGGTCTTTGAAGTTTTCCCACTCGGTCGCTGCACATTCGTGCAGCACTTCTAGATGTAGCTCGATGATCGTGCGCTTATGCACGCGTGGGGGGCGCCGGCGTCGGGCGGATGTTGACGCAGGTTGTGTATCCCTAACCATCGTGTAACCGTAATCGGGTGGCGGCGCGCCGCGTTGTAGATGCTGTAGAATTTCTTCGTCGAGTGGCGGTGACGGCACGTCACGAACGGTGCGAAACGTGCGTCGTCGTTTGGCGAGATAGGCAAAGTACTAAGCAGAAAACGGGAGTAAAGAGCAGGGTGAGGACGGTACGATAAAAGGAGTGAACGCGGGTGTAGGAGTATATTGGTTAGAAACATCATATATTGGAGCGCGTAGGGATGCTCTGCGGTATAAACATCCTGCACATGCGGCATGCCCGCATTGTCGTATATACTGACCTTGCCAAGGAAAAATAGCAGGATAAGGGAAGTGACGCATGCAAAGAAGATAAGAACGGGGGCAGAAAGCAAGATGTCCGCAGGTGTTATGAATGGACTGATGGTGTTATCATGAGGGTCTGTATTAGGTCCCTTACCTTTTGTATCGTGGTAAACTAGTGGGGGTATACCTTCGACAAATGCACCTCCGACTTTACCAAGTACAGCAGAGCCAGGATTATTTAGGTCAAGTCCAAAGGGATCATCAGCAGTTTTATGTGTCTTATCATTACCGTCCGGGGAGGTGGAGGCAGAGGGAGCGCCCTGACCTGTGTCCTGACTGCCCGGTGCTGAGGAACCGGGGTTTGGGACACCTGTGGAGCCAGCTCCTGTGGTACCCGGTTGCAGAGTCCCCGTAGAGCCAGTACCAGCAGAACCTGGACCTGAGGAACCAGGGTTTTGGTGGCCAGTGGAGCCAGGACCGAAGGAACCAGGGGGTTGGTGACCAGTAGAACCAGGTCCTGAGGAGCCGGGACCAGTAGGACCATCTGCACCAGAGGGACCTGTCTCATGTTTGTGACCACTTTGAGCAGGATCAGTGGAGGTAACTGTTGCCTTGGGGGGCTGGGACTCTTGAGATGGTTGTGTCGTGGGAGAGGATGCGACAGTATCCCCATCATGGGCTTTATCATCCTTAGCAGTATTGTGTGCCTCCGTTGGATCAGGTGTACTTCCACCGGAGGCTGAGGAACCGGTACCAGTAGTGACTGGGGGTGCGGCTGGTGGTGGTGGTTGTCCTGTTGATCCTGGTGCTGAGCGGTCCTCAGTACTTCCTACAACCTTCACTTCAGTGTTCTTATCTGAAGATGGGTGCCATGGGGAAGAAGTATAGAAGAAAGTGAAGTGGTGCGATGTGATTGCCCATGGTTGACCATGCGCGGTCGCTGCATGGTGAGGCCACATGGTTCACCATCGTCGGTCGGCCACACGGTTGACCGGCGGTGCGTCACTCGTGGTCCGTCGCTGCATGGTTGGCCACGGTGCGAACGATGATTACGGTGCCACGCCGGGAAAAGACTCTGTCTCTCCCACACACAACACACACACAGTGTGTGTGCGGTTGTCTACGTCTGTCGACGTCTACATCCAGCGGCCGATCACGTTCGCCCGGTCGCTCGCATTCCACGTTTGGTTTCTCTCTCGGTGTTCTCTCCGTGTTGTCTCTCCCGCTCTCTCCGGAAATTGTTGTTTGTGTTGTGGTGTTTTGTGTCTGTTGCATTCATAATGTACATGTAGGGCGTTGGTGCACGCCGGTATACATTAATACTATCTCAGATGGTCTTGCCTGTGTTCGAACAGTCCGGTGTGGTTGCAGTATGGTTGAAGGTTATCGTGGTACCCACGTGGTTCGCGTCCGTGGCTGACTTATGGGTATGTGTACTTGTACCGCATGTTGGTTTCGATGTATCCGTACCTGCTTTCTCTGATCCGCCTTCTATTGGCCCTGGTGATGCCCGTGATGGTGCTGCCGGTTTCTTGCCTCCTGCAAATGAAGGCGGAAGAAAGATGATACAAAAAAAAGGGACACAAGTGGTACAGAAAGAAGGGGCCGGGACGGTTCGATCAGGTAGCGGCAGCGTACGGTCGGCTCCATGGGTCGGCTGCGTGGATCGAGGTAAGACTCGGTGGACTGGGTGTACTCGGTGAACTTGGGCTAGATGGTACCAGTACACTTGTATTTGGTGTCGCCGCCCCGCTGCATCCCTCATCTCGTCTCCGGTGCCTCGTCGCCGCTACCGCTGCCGTTGTGGCCGATGTACTCGGCAATTGTACGTTCGCCGCGCAACGTGAGTGCGGATTTGCTGTTCCGCCATGTGTGCCTGGTTGTTGCCCCGCGTTTGCGTGTTGTTGTTGTTGGCGGCGGCATCCATATTGGGCGGATGCGGGCCGTATCCGTAGCGGGCGTATGTGCGTACGGTCCATGCGGGGCGTAAGCATACGGGCCGTATTGTCATGTTCGTACTATTCGGATACTTACCTTTGCCTTGTGTAATTTTGTTCTCTACTGCGTGCGTCATCTTTTTAACTACGTCTAGAGCTTCCGATTTTATCTTGTCCTGTACCTCCTTTATTTCCTTTTCTACATCTTGTGGTGCTGCTGCTGGCGCAGCTTTTTTTGAAATTTGAATTTTACCGTCTGCCGCCTTCGTCAGCTCATAGTCCGTCCACTGCATACTACAGTCCACTTTGTGCTCTATATTCCCTATTGTGTCCATTATTCCGGCGTTGCTTACTAACCAGTCTACCAGTGTGCCATTTACTGGTCGTATAATGGTTCCCGCAGCATGGTACCCACATTCTGTACATTTCTTATCAAAGACTGGGCCTGTCATTGGGTTCCCCCCATATTCACTAGATCCCATGTTCTGCATTGTTTTCCAGGCATACTTTATACCTCTTTTCCATGCTGTCTTATGGTCACAGTACTTGTTTTCCAGTATGTACCCGAATGCATTCGCTATCTCACATCTTAGCCTTTTGTACAATTCTTTATCTTCCGCGTTTTCTCCCTCCTGGTTCGCGAAGAATAATGCACGCGTCATGAGTTTGCACCGTATGACGTCTGCTACTGTCTGGCCCGTGAACAATGTACGGGCGTCTGTTATATCATTCCAACCGGTATTATAACAGTTCGCCCCTAAGGCATCCACCGTGCCGTCTGGATCGTCCATGTAATCAATAAACTGCTGCAACACTCTCTTCATGGTTTCCAGTTCTTCCTTCTGTATTTTGTACATAGCGAACACATGAATGCGCGTGTTCATATTTCACGTATGTTCTATGCGTCCGCATACATGTATACTCCCAAATTCATATATATGCTATAAGTACATTCTGTTTATGCACCTTATTTTCTCTGTGTGTTTTTCTGGTCCCGTCTGGGTTTACTTTAACTTACACTATAATTACCCAGCACGACTACTTGCCTCCTGTCCTCTTTCAATATGGTCTTCAATGGACAATCGTCCGCGTTCGCCGTCTTCGCCTGCGTGGATGTTCCCCCTGCGGCAGGAGCACCGCCCGTAGCAGCCTGACCACCACTCGCAGATGATGTCGTCGTCATGCCACTGCCGATGTCGTCTTCGTTACCACCGCTGTGGGCGGTTTCGCCGCTACTGGTTTGGCCTTGGTGTCTGGTTTGGCCAGGGCGGGTGCGGTGGCACCAGTCGGTTTTGTGGATCCTCCCGATTTGCCCACTGCGTCTGTGCCCGGACCCACTGGTGATGATGGCCGTGGTGGTCTCGGTGGTCTTGGTGCTGGCGCTGGTCGTGGCCTCGGCTTCGGGGGTGGTGCAGGTGATCTAACGATGGTTGCCTTAGGTGGATTCACTGTGTTCTCCATTTGCTTAACCTTTGTCTTTATGTTTTTCTCTATTTCACATTTGGCCGTGGATTGCCCTGGTTGTTGCATGTCGTCTAGCACCTGCTTCACGTGCGGAAAGGTGTCTGCTGCGTCCACCGTGCCCTGTATTGCGCGCATGAGCTCATCTTCTTCTGTTATCACCACCTCGTTCTCATTGCATGGTTCGTCAGTGTGCGTAGTGCCGTCTGTATCATCCCATCCACATCTTCTTGCTGCACGCCCACGTCCTGGTGTGCGCGCCACCCATTGCGTGCTCAACGTGTCCAAGCGCTGGTGCAAGGTGTCTTGAACATTGCCCGATTGAAATATTACCGCCCCGAAATTTTTTTTCTCGCACAATCCTTTTTCGAATTTCTGCTGCTGGAGTGCGTTGTCCTGGTCTAACTCTTTGGAAACTGTCTTTATAATGTTGCTGTGGTCTTTATTCCGTCCATATAGCCGTAATAAAATCTCTCTAGCTACTGTGCACTCTAAATATTCCCTAAAATTCCTGCTCGTGTTGTTCTGCATGTACCGGTGTTGCCATTGTCCCTGTTTAAAATCATATCCCCGCATGTATAGCATTAAATGTACAATTTCTCTACACCTTTTTATGCATGTCGCATTCGAATCATATATACTGCCGCAGAAGCCAGCAATGGCGCCGGTCCCCCCCCCAATGGTGCTGCGTAACTCATTGAATATGTCATCAACCTCCTTGAGCATTCTATTCTGTAAGTGGAATAATTCATACATGTATAGTGCGTACGTCGCCTTACTCTTATATTTTACTGCACTGCCATATGCGTCCTTTGGTGATGTGTGCAGTCGTTGTGATTTTTTGCCGTTGCCCTTCTACATACTTCACTCACTTGCAGGATACGCGCATAAACACTTCATGAGCACGTGTATTTCTGCATTTGCTAGGTATGCATACGCCGTGCGTGCACAAATGTATTAGTGCCCCTGTGTGTCTGAACTGCCTGTATAGTTGAACCTACCCAATATGCCTGTCCGTCGTGTATTTGCCATTGCTGTAGATACTCCTCCCATGCCCCTAGAAAGGGCAGTATGTCATTGGCATGGTCTCCGAGCATATTGAACACGTGTGTCCCGTCCTGGCAAAACCGCGCGACTAGTACTACTACTAGTACTACTACTAGTACTACTACACACCGCTCAATAAAGCACAACAACAACAACAAAAAATATATGCGCACCCCCTGCCTGCACTAAACGCCTGCACACACCCCGTCACCGTCAACCCCGTCTCCGTCAACGCCTTCTCCGTCAACGCTGTCTCCGTCAACGCCTCTCCCGTCAACGCTTCTCCATCAACGCCTTCTCCGTCAACGCTTCTACCGTCAACGCTGCTGTCCGTCACCCCGTTGTCCGTCAACGCTTCTCCGTCACACCGTCTCCGTCAACGCTTCTCTCGTCAACGCCGTCTGTCCGTCACCCCTTCTCCGTCAACGCCTGTCCGTCAACGCGTCTCCGTCACCCCGTCTCCGTCACCCCGGCCCCGTCAACGCTCTTCTCCGTCACCCCGTGTCCGTCAACGCCTCGTCGTCACACCCCGTCTCCGTCAACGCCTCTTCCGTCAACGCCTCTTCCGTCAGCGCTGCTCTCCGTCAACGCTTCTCTGTCACGCGGCTACTTCGTCGAATCGTTCTTACACTCGGCCGCTTTGGTCGACGCGCTTGCTCGGAGAGACAATCTATGCTGCTTCTTACACTCGGTTACGTCGTCGAATCCGTGTTGCACGCGGAGCGATCCGTTTACCCGGGCACGTTTGCTCGGAGAGACAATCTGTCGTCCTTGTTACACTCGGCTACTTCGTCGAATCGGTCTTACACTCGAGCCGCGTTGGGCGACGCGTTTGATCGGAGAGACAATCTCTGCTCCTTCTTACACTCGGCTACTTCGTCGAATGGTGCTTACCCGGCCGTGTTTGCTCGGAGAAACAATGCCCTGCTTCTGACACTCGACGACAATGTGGTTTACGCGGCCACGTGTGCTCGGAGAGACAATCCCTCCTCCTTTCTTACACTCGGCTACTTGGTCGAATCCTTCTTACACGCGGCCGCTTTGGTCGACGCGTCTGCTCGGAGAGACAATGTCTCCTTATACTCGAATGCTTATTCGCGTCCTATATTTGTTCTGCACTATACCCTGCGAATGCACGTGCGCAGCATTTAATAATTAACTTCACATAAAGGAGAATAGTACCCCTTCATATTATTCATTTAAATCTGCGTTTTATATGCATGTAACGGGTACGCACCGGTGCCTATGGTCATGTTAAAAGAAGTGGACTACACAGAAAAAGAACAAAACAAGGCAAAAGTAAGCACAAGTAAGCAGAACAGAGCAGCAAAAAAAAAAAGAACGTATGGAATAATGCAAACACGAAATATATGACGTATATCACGTAATGAAGTAAAAGTGGTCTACCGTTAGCATGCGTTATTGCATTATTCCCATTCATATGCCCCGTCATGCTAATGTGAACACTGTTGCAATATGTCATCTACATATAACTCCCTATCGTGCAAACGACATTCGAGCGCGCAGTCTTCTATAACGCACGCTAGAATGAGTATCCATATTTTAGCGGTTAAGCGTTGTTTCATATGAGGTGGCTGATGCAGTGGCTGCGTCCGTGGTACATCTCTCACTCTTAGAACATCTTCTTGTCCCATTACTTGTTCCACTTCTAAGTCCTTTCGCACTACAGGTACTTCGCCATTTGCCGGTACTGTGTCGTCCTCTACACTATGCAACAAATGTTGAAACCACTGCTCCGTATACATACGCATTTGCTGATGTTGCTGTGCGACCCATTGTTTCCACAACCGCAGTTTGCTCATGTGCAGGGTTGCCACTTCACCGAACTCACGCTGCCCGGATACTACGTTGTCTTCGTTTGCCGCCATGTGCTGACGCAGGTATTGTTTCCAATCCGATTTCAATTGCAAAAACCACGGTTTCCCCGTGCACTCCCGCAATAGGTGCTTGTGGCGGTCAATCCAGTGAATCCAATTAGTGTGGTCGGGGGTCAGGTTTGCATTCCCGGGGTCGGAAGAGTATGCAAGGGGAGAAGGAGTCTCAGCTTGTGCTAACTGTATAGTTTCCATACAACTCCATGGGTTATCTTCGTTAGGTGGACATGAATCTGTTGCGTCCGAGTCAGTGGATGGAACATGGTTTCCTGGTAAACCCTCGTTTGGGATAGCAGTATCCGGGAAACTACTATGTCCGTGGTTGCCCCCCATAAACTCTTCAACGAGTATTTGCAAATAGTGGTCTTTGACGTTTTCCCATGCGGCCACTTCACATTCGTTGAGCACTTCTAA